AAACAAAGATTAGTCACAGTTATTATAATTATTGTATTACGTTTGTTGTTACTTGTTGGCAACGTTGTACAAATTCTTGGCCGTTTATCACTAATAAATCCACCTCTGTGGTGGAGTGAATCTCAGCTGTTGGCGTATGTACTTTGCGTTTTCTAGGCAGCCAAATATCGCACCTGGGGGATATTGATACATGTATAGTCCTCTGTAGTAATTTTCAAGGTACTTACGTTTTTATACCTTTCCAATGGTCGTAACATTAGTCGATACTCCAATAGAGACATCTACTTGCCCTTTTTTAATCATAAATAAGTCGCCATGCACCATATTCGTTTCTATAATTACAGTCCTTGCCGGATAAGAGACTTCCTTAACCTATAAATAAGTCTTTTTATATATCATTTTTTAACTTTCCGTAATAGGTTATAGTAATCGCAAAACAATCAAAAATTAGTGGTGTATGACATCGTGCCTTAAGGCAAATTGCTGGAACTTTTAAACGTTTTCAAATATATTATTACAAATACTGTAACTTTCACTATTTTTGCTATCTTGTTATATCTGAGCAAATCAAATTTAAATCATAAATCAATTTATCTCCAGAACATTAACAATCGTCATTTCATTTCGAATTTAATTTAAAAAAAAAAATAGTTGCCTAACTAATTTACACAAAATTGAAAAAGTGCCCCCGTATAGTCACAGTCGCATTTGCAAATAATTCTGTGCGACAATTTCACTTATACTGTGCTTAGCTTGGCGGCATTTTCACATTTTTCAATAGTTTTTAAAAAATTGAAACAGTGCTGCAGTGCATAAATAGTCTAAACGTACTTGGGTAAACATTTGTACCAGAGACTGTTGCTTAGACTGTGCTCAGTCTGGGTCATTTTTTCAATTTTTAATCCGAAATTACAAAAATATTTATGGAAAATAAAAAAAGATGTAAATTTTTTTTATCCTCAATTGTTTTGTCAAAACAAGCAGAAAGTTTTTTAGATCATTCAAATCGGACGCTTAGTTCACTCAAAAACTGCCATTTTTTGCACATTTAGCTCTGTATCTTCAAAATGGCGGAACCTGTCTTTGCCAAAAACTAATCACCACTTCTCCCAATCATTACAAATTGAATGTTTTTTAGACCATTCAAATTCGATACTCCGTTCTTTCAAAACTCGATTTGTATTTTCTGCACTTTTTACATCGTATCTCATAACGGCTGGACCTGCCTTTACTAAAAACTAATCAGCACATCCAGTGGTGTTGTGCTAATATTTTTTTTGCCGGAACGCTAAAATTTAAAATCCGGTTCAAAAATTTGATATATTTCGATAAGACCTCAAAAATGTAATATATAGACTTATTATATAATTAACTCTATATATACAGCTAGTCTATACATTAAATTGTACAAGTATGAGGGAATCATTGAGTACATAATTTATATTCTTCAATGACATTGATTATATTTATTCTGGTATTATTTGTATTCATTAATACCTACATGTATTTATTATGATATAAACGTACTCAAGATTTATTACAATACTTTATAAGATAACCTAATAATATGATAGATAACCTATTAGCTATCATACTATAATATATTAATCTATATCGTAGATAGATATCTATTATCTATCATACCGTGAGATACCTATACCGTCATTAACTTATTATATACCTACATACCTTTTACTTCTTATAAATACTACTGTCTAATTTGTATATTCACCTATATTATATAGGTTTACCTTACGCCATATGTATTATCTCTACCTATTATATATATTATCTATTGTCTATACCGGGAATTGAACCCGGGACCTCCGCGTGGAAGTCGCGCACCTTAACCACTACCCTATCGGGTACCCCCATTAATAATATAATATGGGACGCACTGTTGTTTCCGCGGGTTATTTTCTAATTAGATAATTAATACTGAGGTGGCGCGACGACACGCGAAAGAAGACGGTTGATTGTAGCGCTACGGTGGTGTAGTGGCTAAGGTCGTCGCGTTCCACGCGGCGGACCCGGGTTCGATTCTCGGTAGGGTTAATGTAGCGTGTAAAAAAAATATAGGTGAATAGATATATAGAGATATAGGTTGGTGTATTCGGTATACAATGTAGGGATTTGAGAGTATGTGATGATATAGTATAGATGTAAGATGTAGTAAGTATATAGAATGCAACGTATAGACATAAGAATAGAGAGCTATAGAACACGAACGAATAGGACCTATGATGTAGGTGTTAGCGTATAAGAGATGCGAATTTATGTAAGATTATAAGATAAGATGAGATAAGAATTATAAGATATAAGATTTAATTTATGAATATTATTTTTTCTATAAGAAAGTTTATCTCGGTATTAAATATCTAAAATATCCGTTAAGGCGTCGATTACACCTTACTGCTGCCTTTGCCGTTATCACTTCATAAGAAATTAATTACTGCACTTTTAAACGAATGTGTGCACTATGCGACATATAACATATAATAGACATAGAACTATAAATTTTATTAAATGTTTGAGTAACTTAAAACTTTGGGTAAGGATATCTCGAGTTCTAATGAACCGATTTACTTCAAATTTGGAGAGGATCTTCTCCATACATCGCTTTATCGCATGGACCTTTCCCAAAACTATAACTTTTCATTTAGTATTTTAAAAAATTCGGGATTGTTAAAAAAAACATGAAAAAAATTTTTTTTCAAACTGTCGCCATTCAAACAAAATTTTTTTTTTAACTTATCCAAGGTTCATACGATAGCGGCATCTATAATAATTAAGAATCCATCTATTTATGTTTCGGATCACCAGGAGGGTTGGAACCATGCACCCCAGGACGCCCCTTTTTTTTGAGCCCGCACTTTGACTGCTCATAACTTTGCGAATTCTATTTTTTTTTAATTATTTTTTTTATGTAATAATAAAATATCAATAAACAAATCATAAAAAATCGATAGTAAAAATATAATTTGTTTTCTCTATAGGGGGTTTAGAAAGGGATCCGTAACCTAAGCTATGGAAATATATATGGAAAAATTGATCATAATATGTTTAACAAATTTTTAACAGTATTTACAAATTATATTCAAATCACCCAAAGCAAGTGGGTTAAAGTCGGCAAATTTTTTAATTTGCCTCCCCCTTCTGAATTTAAAAATGGATTTTTCTGTGGGGCGAGCGCCCCACGTTGGGAATTACTAGTCTAGGAGTACAATTTTTTAATCTACTACCAGGTTAAAATATCGAGTGATCATCAATTCCACAGAACCCAGATTTCAAAAGTCAAGTTCTATGATATGCATACAAATTCAAATATGATCAAAGTTATATGAATAGAGATATAAGTCAAAAGGCTAACGATTGAGAAGATAATACAGGTTAACTTTTGCTATAAATTGTCAACTAATTTACCACTAAATAAATGTCAATAACAATGATTAAAAAAATTACCAATAGATCTTGGATTGTAAAAATTTACAAGCGATCGAACGGCTTATTTTTGCCTTAGATGGCAAAAAATTCATCGAATTATTAAAATATTATTTTTTTTAATTTAATTAAAAGCAAAAGAGTTCTTATGCTTTTGTAT